TATATATATATATATATACATCCCTTCTTTTGACTCTGCCTTAACCAAGTAGTTTAAGACATGGGACAAAAATAATGAATAATGAATGAATCAATAGCAAAGAAAGTTTTGTCAGCTGTTAATTTGATGTTAATTGTGGATTTAATTTGTTTTATATCTGAACAAAATAAAAACACTTACCATTTGTCTCAATTGTGACTGAAACACTGTCATCTGTGAAGAAAACTGGGTCTCCTCTTCCTCCTCTGCAGTGATAGATGCCTCCTTCTGCAACACTGAAAGTGTGGGATGATGTTCCGTTTGTTATTCTCTGGGCTGTAGAAGACTCTGAGGTACGTCTGAACCAGTAATATCTCCATCCTGCAGAGTCGTTCACAGAGCAGTTCAGGGTCACGCTGCCCCCCAGTGAGGCCCGAGGTTTTTCAGTTTGTGCTGGTCAGTTTGGAAAACACAAGTAAAGCATTAAGGTGGAAAAAAGATGGTTACTTTATTACATCTTAATAGAAAAGAATGCCAATATTGTTAATTATTATACATGTAATCCATAACATCGATGCAGGACATGCAAATCTCATAAATGCAAATGTTATTCACAGTATAAGATAGAAAACCTATCAAAATGTTTAAAGTGATAACATGTACAATTTAAATAAAAAATATTTGCTAATTACTTATCCTTATCAAGGTCATAGGGGGGCTGAATTTCTATCCCAGCTACCACAAGGCAAGATACAAGGTACACCATGGAGATGTCGCCAGGCTGATGCCCTGGAGACAGACCTGGGGAGGGTGCACAAGTTGAGCACCTACTTGCTGGGAGACTGCGGACATTAAGTCTGAATGGACCATTTTAAGCACCTCCATTGCTGAGGCTGCTGCACTGAGCTCCGGCTGCAAGGTGGTTGGTGCCTGTAGTGGTGGTAACCCCCGAAACAACTGGTGGGCACCAGAGATGAAGGGAGCCATCAGGCAGAGGAAGGAGTCATGTTGGGCTGTTCAGCTGAGTTTAAAGTGGCAGAAATAAGAATCAGCACCTCCAAGTCTGAGGCTTGAGGTCCTCAGCTGGAAAAGGGTGGTGCCCACTCCAGGTCAGGGATAAGTTGCTGCCCCAAGTAGAGGAGATTAAGTATCTTGGGGTCTATTTCACGGGTGAGGAGAGGAGGAGGTTTGGAGATCTGCAGTTACTGGTTTCCTTTTATACACTCCACCTTAGCACTTTGTGACGTTGTGTCATGGTATCCGGTCAGGTGTCCCAGTATTCTGAGTTTTAAATGTATTCCTTCCTCAGGGTTCCTCCCTCGAACATACCCTGACCATTATTCTCATCACAGCCATCTGTTATGTGTTTTTTAACTTTTTGAGTTTACTATTAGCCATTTATCATCACCTTATCTTTATCAAAAATAAAACATATAACTGATAGATTCTGTTATTTCAAACATATGAGTGTACTGGTTTGGAAACAACTAGCTAGTTAATAAACAAACTGGAAGACTGAACAACAAGATAGAATCAAAATATAATGGAAATACATTCAATTGGCTTTGAAAGTATTAAAGTATAGAATGAGAGACAAACAGCGCAGATCACAAATACAATGAGTCACTGTGCCTTGTCAGAAATACTATAACAGTTAAACTCACAGGTTTCCTCCACAATGAATTCACTGCTGTCCTCTGTGTAGTAAACTGGATCTCCTCTCCCTCCTCTGCAGTGGTACAGACCTCCTTGTGAGACACTAATAACTCTGTTGGCTTCATTTCCTCTCATGAGCTGAGCTTTAGAAAAAACTGAATCACGTCTGAACCAGTCAAACTTCCAGCCAGCAGAGCCCTCCACAGAGCAGCTCAGTGTCACACTGCCCCCTGCTGGTATGGTTGAACTTTGTGCTGTCAGTGTGGCTCTGGGTTTATTTGCTGTTGAAGATACAGAAAGAGAAAAAACAGTAGATTGATGTCAATTTTCTTTAACAAGAATTTTGTTATGAAAACAATCACACTTTATACATTCAGTCAGTCATTTAAATTGTAGTGAGCTCCTACGTTAAGAAGTGGCTCGGACTTCCCAAATGCCTCATCAGCTTTGGACTCTATAGCAACAGGATACTGTCATTGCCTATCCCTGGCCTGGTAGAGGAGTTTAAATGTGCCAAAGTGAGGCTTGAGATGTCACTCACAGACTCCTGGGACCCCATGGTGAGAGGCACTGCTCCCACCTTAGCAAGTGGGAGAGTGTCAAAAAGAGGAAACTCTTATGGAGTGAAATCTGG